GGGGGGCGAGGAGAGGTAGAGAGGAGAGAAACTGAGAGTGTGAGGTTGACCTAGACGGTCCACCCAGCAACGCTCAAACTGACAGAGACCTTCACCCTTCAGCCGGAAGGAAGGGAGGAAAAAAGTCCCTTCTGGATCATCTCATCGCCTTGGGACAGCTGACCTGGTTTTCCAATGCAAGAGGCCAAGACACCTTCCTTTCTCTGAAGGCACACCCCACACCCCACACACTTACCCCTACCCAGTCTTGGGAAAGTTCAGCCTGCCAGAGGCAAGGAGGTAGGGGCACTGGGTGCTGGACCCTGGCAGGAGGCCCCAACTCCAGGAAAAGACACAAACGGTAGAGGAAACCTGAGGATGGCCCAGGAAGCGAGACCCGACAAAGGCCTAGTAAGGAAACTCAGAGAGCCTGGGGACACTGTCCCAGGGTCCATGGGGAAATGCCCTGCAGAAGCCCCCACTCACCCATCCGCCCACACCTGTCTCTAGTCAACAGCCAGGGCACAGCTTTCCCTCGCCACGAACTCAGAACTACAGAGGAAACATCAGCGCCCTCCCAGGCTTGGCCCTGCCCCTGATCGCGTCCACCAGTGGCGAAAAGTCACTTTCTTCCCAAGCATGTTGACGTCAAGCCATGCCTGGCTTTTTCAAAAACGAAGCAGCTCTCTTCCAGTATATTTTTGTAACCACGTGGCTTAACAAGAACTAAAGTTTCCCTAGCCCTGGGGAGAGCTTTTCCAAATATTTTTAGAAAGTTAAAAATATAACAAAACAAACTACTCACAAGCCGCCTGTTTAAAGAGGGGAGGTGGGATCCTGCAGACTCCTGGGGAAGGGCTGCCTAGGCAGGAGTCAGATGGCAGGGAGGGAGGAGGAGGGGAGTATGCAGTTTTATTTGCAGCAGAGGAAATCGGCTGTCTAATTTGCCATCGTGTGGGCTTTCATTTAAGGGGTGGAGCAAAAATAAACTGATACAGGGCGGTAGGTATATTTGCTGGAGGCGTGGAGCCAAGGAGAAATCATTACTTTGCAACTCATTGAAAAATCACTGGCTTGAGCTAGAACAGCTGGCTGCCAGCCGGGTGTTTTCTTCCTTTACACACGCTACAAATTTGCGCTAGGTCTGCTGAGGTCCCTGAGCTGATCTTGGGGTCAGCAAATCTCAGGGGCCTTTGTAGGTTCTAAAACACCTCTCTGAAACAAGTTTGTATTCCTGGATTTCTGTAGGAAGCAAAGATTGCCACTGCAAGGCCGTGTTTTGCTAGCCCCCAACTTAATCAAAGGAGCAATCCAGATGGAGTCCAGCCATGGAGTGCCCCTTCAGACACCAGCTGAAGGTGGGGAAAAAGGAAAATGAGTGTAGCTCCCAGGGACAGCTGTCCTCTGGGCCTCTGCAACTAACTCCAGATCTCCCGTGAGAAAAGGCCTTTGCCTGTTACCTTGTTCCTCGTTTCTCAGAAAACTTGGGGTTGCTCACTCCTTAGCCAACATACCCAACTGTGTCGGGCAGGCACAGAAGGAAAGAAAGACCCCTCTCCGCCCCCCCCCCCAAGGAAAGAAGTGGGTTTGCACTTGACTTTTAAGCAGTAGTTTGGGGACTTTTTAACATTAAGCAGGTGTGGTACGGCTGCAGGAAAAAAAATAAAAAAGAATCCAAAGAAGGAACTTAGCACCCACCCAACTTTCTTCCTAGGACAACCTCCCTCTCCTCTCCTCCCCACCCCCACTCCCAACATCCGATCTGCCAACGTGTACGCAAGAGCAAATAACAACAAACTTAGAAGAGGAGTTGACACGTTCTGTTCCATGATTTAGGGGGCGAAAGAAAACATGACTTTGATGAAAATCGAACTTGGAGGGACTCTGGTGGATCCTGAATGATAGCTGGCAACAGTGGAGTCTGAGGTTACTGATGAGAACTTGGTCTCTGCAGGCACAGTGCTTTCCCCAGCACTGTCCACCTAGGGAGTCCAAGTTCACCCTTGCAAGTGAGCAACAGCAGGCAGACTCCTTCTCAGCAGGGCGGCTGGCGGACTGCTGGCAGCAAATGGGTGCTGAGGCCTGGTCTGGATCGGCAGGTCTGTGTGTGTTCCCCACTTGGGTCTGAGTTAGTTCTTTATGTGGATTCTTGGGGTGTGTGTGTACTCTGTGGTCTTCCAGGTCCCCCTTGTACTGACCAGCCCTGGGTTCAGTGTAGACCAAAGCTGTAGCACCCTCAAGCCTTGGAGAGTGTCTTTGTAGGCCTAAGCAGACCATTTTTAAACTGCTTAAACTTGATCCAAATACCCAACCGCAGCTAAGATGGAACGAGGAGGGTCTGCTAAGGTGCCCAGGCATGGGGCATCTTCACTGAACATAGCGGTGCCCAATTTCCAGCCAAGTCCAGCGATCTGAGTTGTCCCAGCTCAGCAGGCAGAAAATGAGAAGGGCCGGTCCGGACCCTTTTGTTCGAATCAAACAAGACCAAGGCGGGTTTAAAGCAAATTGATGAGCTGGAGAGAAAATCTGCAAACCACTTCCTAATTAGCCAAGGTCTCATCAAGGGCCCCGAGGCAACTTCCGCCTGGATTTCACCTCTCTCTTCCCTTCTTCCTTCCCGCCCCTCCTCGGCATCCATGCCCACACCACTTCACGTTTTTGAAAACGTTTTTTAACTCTGAGGCCCAAGTGTCAGAGAAAGTTGGAAGCCAGGTCTACTGGATTTCAGCGGCTTGTCTGACCCCTGTGTCACTGTTCTAGGGCGGGAGTGAGAACATAGCGGGGTGGATGTCCGCACAGGGGCCCGACTCTCTGGCTACGCAGGAAGTGACCTGGGGGCTGGCGCGAAGACGTCCTGGAAGGACTCTCCACTTGGTGGGTCCCTCGCACCGTCCTGAGCGCCGAGCCTGGGTGGGGCGGGGAGGGGAGCCAGCCTGGCTGGGGGTGCTTGTGGCTGACTTCGGCCGGGATGCAATGAACCTTTGCACACGCAGGCGCGCGCGCGCACGCATTCCTAAAGCAGGCGGCGGGCCTGCTCCACGCCCGGGACGGGGTCTCTCCTTCCGCCGTGCCCGCCGCCCCGGGGGCGCAGGAAAAAAGGCAAGGCGCGCCCGTCTCGGCGCGAGGTCGCCGCGGCATCCCCGCGCCAGGCATGGCAGCAACGCGGCGAACTCACCGGGGCCAGCGGCTCCGCGTGGGGCTGGGGGCTGGA